ATTGGTTTCATATAATTAATCCAACTCAGACTGCCCTCCATCATTTCATGGTGTACCTCAAGGGTCACTGTTAGGGCCTCTTCCTTTTTCTGATTAACATCAATGATTTTATGAAAACATCCTCGTATCTGAAATTCGTCGTATATGCTGATGACAGCAACCTCTATGTTTCAGGTAACGATATTAATCAACTCGTTAGTAACATCAATAGAGAACTTAATACTATCAGTAATTGTTTCTTTTCAAACAAAGTGATGCTAAACATTGTTAAATCCCATTATGTTATATTTAATCGTAAAAAGAAACTCCCCCTACACTTTTGCCAGTATTGTTAGAACGTAAACCATTGTCAAGGATAACCGAAACATAACTTCTTTGAGTAATGACTGACGATAAATTGTTGTGATCATACGAACAACATTCGTCACATTAATAAACAGCGTGGTATCCTGTACCATACGCGTGATATCTCACTATGAGTGCCAATAAATGCATCATTTTTTTCATTAATTTATCCACATCTGACATAATGCAACACTGCCTGGGGAGCTGTCAATGAAACCACGTTAAAGCCCGTTATGACTACCCCAAAATGAGTAATCCGAACAGGTGCTGGATTAGGCAAATATGACCATACAAATAGTACATTTTCTACACTGAAACTATTGAAACTGAGAGATATAAATACCTACTTCTGTGCTCTCTCCTTTTTTAAATGTATCAATATCTACGGAAATAACTTATTCCGGTACAGAAATTATTTAAGATATCCTCTGCGATCAAACTCAATATTAAAGAACCCATCTGTAGGCTCAAACCAATCAAAAACATATCTTATATCACATCTCCACAATGCTCCATCACTACCGTCACTCGAAAAATCGTTGAAGATCCTTTTATTACGTATGTCAGAGTGAATTCTGATGTTTAGTATTTATGCATCTGTATGAATGCTTACATATGTGTACAAATGTGTCTGTGTAATACATTTATGAATATATATGTATGTGTATATACAAATGTATGCAAGATTAATATGTACATACATATACATGTGTATATGTATGTACATGTATAAGTACATATATGTATATATATATATATATATGTGTGTGTGTGTGTGTGTGTGTGTGTGTGTGTGTGTGTGTGTGTGTGTGTGTGTGTGTGTGTGTGTGTGTATGTATATATATATATATATATATATATATATATATATATGTATATATATATGTGTGCATATATATGTATATATATATATATATATATATATATATATATATGTGTGAATATATATATATATATATATATATATATATATATATATATATATATATATATATATGCGTATATATGTATTTATGTACAAATATGCGTATGTATATGTATATATATGTTTGTGTATAAGTATGTATGTTTATGTGTATGTGTTTATATAAATTGTATATGTATATGTGTTAAAGTACGTAGGTATGTATATATATGTGTGTGTATATACAGCTATAGTCTTGTGCAATATGTTTTTTTTTTGTGAATAACATTATCGTTTTCATTATTCATACTATATTAAACATTTTTATCTTTATTACTATTATCGTCTCCAATCCACCTGCTAGTAGAATAACTGAGTCTAGACATTTAAATACACATCAATTCCCATATAATAAGGTGCCTCCTTAAGGAAGCTTGTGTTCGCAGGAGGCTCAGCCATTCTATTTTTATCATGTTTATGTCTTTATGTGTATTGGCTAAATAAACGTTATCAATCAACAAAACTTTGCCATACTGCCATAAGACCTTTGATGTCTAGTACATTTATTTGTCTTAACCATAACAAAATAAATCGACGGAGGAAAATATACAGATCCTGTGGGTCGTCCGTTGCCAGCGCCCCGTCCAAACTCAGTGACTGATATAGATTCTGATGTTTACTTCCATGTGATAAAGCCTTGTTGGATTACAGTATCACTAATAATCAAATGTGGTTATTGTCAACGTTTTTTTTCTGTTTGAAAGAGGGAGAGGGGTCTTCATTTGATGGTTGTAAAGGCACTGGCAAGTTGTTAAATCGTTTATGTTTGTATTTGCTTTCTCTATAAAGTTTTATATGTACTCTCTACTCTCGCTATCTCTCATTTTCTCTCTTTCCCTGCCTTCCTCAGCCCCTCCACTCTCTCTCTCTCTCACGTTTGTCTCACGTCGATATCCTTTTCCGCTCTCTAGAGTGTAGGGGACTGGCTTACAGTCAAATTCCGCAGTGATCATCATCAATACACTACATGAATATATATATATATATATATATATATATATATATATATATATATATATATATATATATATATATATATATATATATATATATATATATATATATATATATATATATATATATATATATATATATACACACATATATATAAATACACACACACACATATATATTTATGTATGTATATATATATATATATATATATATATATATATATATATATATATATATATATACATAGATATAAATATATATGTGTGTGTGTGTGTAGTAAAGAGAGGAAAGATAACGTCATGGATGAATGTGCGTGACATTCAGCGAACTAATGCAATCGACAGACTAATTGATTAAGTGACACAAAATAATTGATGTGACGCGAATTTAATCAATTTGATAAAACGCTTCGTCAGGATACACGTTGGAAGTGATCCATACACGAACGGATTTACGTGTTGCCGATGCAGTG